AAAGCTTAACATTAAACTCAAACTCAAGTACACGGGCATAATTTACTGATTACAATAATACCTAATCCAACTAAAAGTAGTTGAAAAAGGTAAATATCTCAAACTCAAGTATACGGGCGTGATTGTATATAATTTGTACAGTAAATATCACACTCAAAACTCAAATTTAACTCAACTTTAACTCAACTCATTATCTCCAATATTATCAATATAATTAAATAATATCAACCAATCATTCTTATACATCACATCAACTATAATTCACTATTCATCCACTCACATAATTTTAACTAACTATCACTTCCAATCATTTTCTCTTATTTTTCATCAAATCAACTTTAATTATTTTAATTTAAATATTATTTTAATATATCCACTAACAACTAACCATACTACTTTTTTTCAAACTTAACTATAATTAAAAAAAAAAAACTAGCTTTTTACTAGTTGAATTCATATCCAATCACCCCCTAAAAAGCGGGCACTTTCAATCCCTAACAACGCCAACTCAGCCACGGAAAAAAGAAAACATTAACAATTTCAGAGCTATAGACAAAGATACATGAAGCAAAAAAAATAGACAAATTCTTGGGGTATACTATAAAAACTCGACTTTCAATTTTTGACAATACTATTTTGAATGAGAATTTACGTTTACGTCAAGTGTATGTTTGTAGTTAATTTATTTATGCGAACATCGTTCCTTTACTTTACATTGCATATAATATGGTTTCGGGTGTAGAACAATAAGATCATATTATCGGTGTTTCTTAAAATATAAATGATGGTTCACAATCTAGACAAGAGTTGAACTCCAAGGTTGTAAAAGACTGTAGTGTGAATCTTGGAATTAGTCGATCTTAGACTAATGGATTACACTAGTACATCTCGAATGTATTGAACGACCCACATGAAAATAAGATTATCTTATACTGACCAAGTAAATAATCTGGACTTCATTATTTGTTGTGTCTTCTTAACCCGTAAGACAATGTACGAGCATATATTGTCGGCACTTACTATTTGATTTATCAAGGGTGAGACTTATTCTGGTAAGTCGATATACTCAATATTTTGATAAACAATGTCAGTTGCATGATGTGCTATCAACATTGTTTACGGTTACCATATCCTGAGAAAGTTCAAGTTGACGACGTCCCCGAAGTGAGTTCAAGAAGGATCGTTATGTCAAACCCTGCAGGCAGATTGAGTTCCGGCATAATGCTAAAGAATTGAGTGGTACGTACTAGCTAAGGACATAGAAGTTGATTAATTAAATTGTCAGTAATTAAATTAATTAATAGATGTTATATCTTATACGGAGATATAAATCGAGCAATAATAGGGAAATGAATTAATTATAACTCGGAGTTAGATTGAGAGTGCAATAATATTTCTCTAGTGGAATGATTTATCCTTCGAGTATTGAGGGCTCATACATGGGAAGCCCATATTTAACATCTCTTTAGGATCTCTACTGTAGTCCTATAAATACAAAAAATCTCAAGCCTCTAAACAGTAGATCTCTTCATAATTATACACGCACTTTTCTTCTTGAGAGTTTGTGAATTTTGAGAGCTTTGTTCAATCGCTCCACCAAGATTGTTCGAATGGTGTTTGAGTAATACAGTAGAAGATTCTTGGGTCTTTTATTCATATCCCGTCAAATTATATTCGCATCCCCGTAAAGTTTCTGTAACTCACGGGGTTGTCTGTTCTTCACAAAAATCAAAAATTATGTTCACCAGAACCCGATGATCACCACCTCCCATCAGCCAGGCTCAGCCGTTCTTCAGCCATCACCAGCCGCAGCCTGGTTGTTCTCAGCCGCACAACTCCGCCCTGACCCGGTCTGACTTGCCCATGCTCCGCCTGTCCGCGTATAGACTGCGTAGTACCCGCGCAGGCCCGCTCCCAGCGTCCGCGACTTTCTCGCGGAGACCCGCTCCCAACGTACACATCCTCGCACAGGAGTTCCCCAACGCGACTTGTGCACTTTTCTCGCGACCCGCAGCGCCCGAGTGCCACTCGTCCCAGCATCCACGAAGTTTTCGTGCCACCAGCGTGTTGCGTCTGCGTTCCAGTGCCCGTGTCAAAGTCCTACGTGACATAGGTCTCTCCCAGTGTGCATTCCACGACTCCCCTACAAATTATCTTGGGTTCACGGCTAATTCGTAAGATAAAATAACCTCATATATTATCCAGGGTTCAAGGTTAACGCCCTCCAAGATATTACAACTTTTGATTTGTGTATATTAGTAACTCAAATACACAAATCTTCATCAAACAATACTCAAGGTTTGGAACTCTTCAAAATAGAAATGAACAAAAAGAAAAGATAACGTTTTTTTTATAGTTGGCTTCATATCCCGTCAGTTACGAAAATTTTTATAAGGAATCAATTAATTATTGTTGCATTTTATTATTTAGTATATACCTTATGTTCTGTATAGATGCAAATAATTTTGTAAATTTACATATGCGCAATGATTTAAAAGCGCTTTTCTCTCTCCTAAGTCTCTCTCTCAAGACCCTTTCTTCTGTAGCAGACCCAGATCTCATTTCCCGTCGCCCCCACTTAGCCTACCAGTAGGCCTAAGCTCCTTTCACCATATAATATTTAATTAATATTTTATTATATAATAAAAAAGAAATATTGTTAAATAGTGTAGTAGAATTGTTATAAAATTATATGATTTTTTTTTTACAATATGGATTTAATATTTTTTTATGATTTGATAATATAAACAAATCTATACTTAACTTTGAAAAA